ATAGATATCGTGCTCTTTTGTTAGCTCTTCGTCGAGACTTGTGAAAACAACATTTTTCATATCGTATAAAAAGCAATGATAGCATTAAGTAAAAGAGTCGCATACAATGTGGCATCATTGCAGACCGCGCACGTACTTCATATCGTAGAATGTGATGAGGAGCTTGAGTTTGATACATGCATCAATATGATAATACAAAGAAAGCAGTCGAATACGATTAAGTGAAAAGGGAATATTTATGCGATGAGTGGCATCTCATGATCTAATCATTTCATTTCATACATATTTTACACTCGAATATTATGAAAAGAAGCTCAACGGTTGCACACGTCAGGTAATTTATATCCATTCTGAGCGATAACGTGTGCAAACATGCTTATCTCGCTCGCTCTAGACCATTTTTCCAATTACATGATATAGGGTCAATTTGAATATATAAATTCCATTTCACAACTTTGTATCACTTCTGATATTTTATTACTCTTATATGCATCAGCGATAAAAGGATTTCTCCCATGAAAATACGCACGATGAAAAGTTGTGAAACAAAATATTTGCCCGCATTCATATGCATTTTGATTCAGGCGATGTTGTTGTTGTTTTCTTTTATTGTGTTCAACAAACTTCCATGGAAATGATTTTAGAGACACATTCTAGTTGAGTCGCTTGAGTGCTCTTGATACTGAAAGTGTAATTTAATGTTGAAAGTAGCCTATTTAGATGAATTTTCTCCATCACATTTTCCATTTTTGCCTCATTCAAAGCCGACAAAACGGGAACTCATGTCTATTCCAAAAACGAATGCAATCTAAAAACTGAGATTTTCCCATATAAATCTACTGTTCCTCCAATCAAAATGAATTAAATGGATTTTATTGGATTGCTTTAATCCATTTTATCTGATTTGAGGTTAAATTCGAGGTTAAACCTTTAAGCTGCATAACATTCACGATCAATACAAGCAAGCACACAAGAACGAGCAAAAAAAATCTGCTCGTCTGTTGTTATTTTCCTTCTGTTTTCGCTTGATTTATTGATTCTCTTTGATTTATCGGTTTCATATTCAATAAAGAGCGTCAATAGAACCAGCTACCATTCACTGTATACATGGTTGCGACTACGAGCAGCTCGCTTTCATTTTATCCATAAATGATTGTCGCACACTTACTCATCTAATGTGTTCCATACATTGGAAGTGAAAAACACATTTTTTCTGCCGAAGAAATAACATGGTATGGCAAAAAGAATAAAATAAACACACACACACACACACACACACAGAGAGAGAGAGAGAGAGAGAGAGAGAGAGAGAGAGTTAGTTGGTCGTAGGTCATGTCAAAAGCATACTTTTCATACGAAAAGTTCATGGGATATCGAAAACTTTTGCATCGAAAATTTTAAAATTCTATTCCAATCGCTTCCATTCACTTTGGCCTCGATTTGGAAACACGCATTAATGGAAACAAATATTAGGCAATAAGCCATTTGAAATGTGCTTGTATAGATTTTCATGCATAAAACATTCGGCAGTAAATTGATTTCTGTCTCGAATTAAATTTCACTTTTCCATCGTCGGATGTAGATGTGTTATTCTATTGTCGAAAGAAAAATGTTAAGCTTGAATTTTTCCGTATTGCACACCGCTGCGACACGGTGTAAAAATGTCAAAAAAGCACGTTATTTATGAATGACAAAAAAGCGATGCCATTTTGCGATGAAAGAATGACATTTTTCTATGGTAATGGGGAACAAAGTTTTTCTTTCCTCGTTTCGAATATTTTTTGCTGTTTGCAGCTGATTCGAAGGTAGGTACGGACCCAAGGTAAAATTCACAATCATCGTTTCGAAAAGTTTTTAATTTGCCGAAGTGGCCATATTGTAAATTGGTTTTTCAAAATTAATTTTTGGCGGTATTTTGTTGAAGTTTATTTTTATTCAACTTCTTTTATTCAAAATGAAAGAGCATCGTGTATGATTTATTTCGCTTCACCAATCACAAATTTATTCGAAAGATTTGCACATTTTCACAGAAATCGAATGGAGAAAGTTTCTCGGAGTAGGTGCATAAATAAGTTTCGTCACATTTTAATCTGATTTTTCGTTTATTCTCCTGAAATTAATGCTGACATCCATAAAAACCAATGAAATTTTGATGAGATAATTTGTCATCATTGCTGATCTACCTAATGGTTTTGCCGGTGCATGAAAATCTTGATTATTGGTTTATACGTAATGAATAAATGATCCATGTTGGTACAATGTTGACAGAGCAATAAAACATTAAACATTATAGTACACGCGAACGCTTCAGAACATTGAATAAAGTGGTAGAGAGGAGAAATTACATAAATTATATGGTTCAAGCAGAAAATTGATCGTGCTTCGGAATTAATGCCCAACGTCGACGTGAACTCAACACATGACGCACAAAACAATGTTTCAATACATTTGATGAATAAAAATAGAGCATGTGTTTTTTTCGAAAACAAAATAAAAATAATTATTGATAATTTTAACCGCTATACGTCAATTGAAGAAAACCACCCTTTATTAATTCAAACAACGTGGCAAAGCAAATTGCATTGAATCACTAAAATCCAGGAAATTTCTGAAGACCATCGACAAAACGATTGCGTATTTGAGAAGCTTTTTGACGCGATCAAATTTTAAATGATAAATACACAAAGTATGTGGGATTAAATTGGCCGGGCCAAATTGTTTTGCATTCAATATAAGTGTGTATTGATTGCGGCGAAGAAAAAGAAATCGATTGACACGTGCCGAACCATTTTAATGCTAACTAAAAGGGGAATTCAACACAATTACAAAAAAATTTAATGGCGATTTTCCATCAGGCGAGATGCTATTTTGGGAAAAGGACACAAATATACTATGTTTCCGAATTGAGGCCGCTTTTAGTGTTTGAAATAAAATAAACGTACGGGACAGGCTTACCATTAAGGTAAGTATCAACGTTTCACAGGTTTATATATTAAAGGAAATAAATGTGAATGAAAAAAAGGAAAATAATACCGTGAATGGAAAGAAACAACGGTTGGCAATAAAATCCAACTGTGTTCGAATTGCAAATGGCAGCAACCACCTAAGCATTCCGTTCACATACAAATCCACATCGCATCAAGTGGACGCGTTGCGTGTGAGCAACAGGATTAGCTTTACGTGTTCGTGTATAAGAAATTGAACGACTGAAAAAGTATGTTACGTCTGCTTTGTGGGTTTTTGCCTATGAGAATTAAAATTCAGGTAAATAGAGAGAGAGAGAGAGAGAGAGAGAGAGAGAGAGAATGAAAAAGTATAGAAGCTCGAGAAAGAAGCGAAGAGACCAAATGAATAATGATGGCAATAACATGGAATGTGAATGTGTACTGAATCCGAAATTCGATCCATTGAGTGCGTTTCGACCCGCATATTTACTATTCAAGAGTGTACCACATATGTCAGTGTGATGCACACCGACCGGAACCTTATGTAAAAATATTCTCTCTAATTTTTACTTGTTGTATTTCTTTTTTTTTGATGTTTTTGTTGTTGCTCTCATGCTGTTTGTCTTTTGAAATCTCTTACCATTGACCAATATTGAGTTGAATTCGTTGTATCTATTTTGTAGTCGCCGTATACAATGAGATACAAACTGGACATGCACGGTTACTGCTTAACATTCCAAGTGATGTTTCTATCGAATTTTTCATTATAAGCGCTCATTCTCTCTCTCTACCCATTCTCCGCGTGTTTGACCTGTACTCTAATCTCAAAATAGTCCTTTATAAATACATTGAACGTGAAAAGTGCCCGTAAATGAGAGAGCACAATTTACCTTTTAACATGAGCACAACAGCAAAAATTCTCTGTATTTATACGGAATTTTTAATTTGTTCTCGTGTTTCTTCGTTACAGAATAGACCGTACAATTTTATCTAAAACAATTTTTCGACCTGAATAATGCTATGGAATTACACCGAAAACAATTTATCAAACGCATATAAACGGTGTTTCTTAAACCATTCAGTATGATTAATTAATTTTGAGCAAACGAACTGGGCAACACATAAGCTCAGATTCGTGTTAAACAATGATTCATTAGATGCACAAAACACCCATAACTTGTTCTATCCTCATAGTTCTACTCTCATACTAATTTTATAGCATAGTTTGCAGCTAGGCAGACTTTGTGGCTTGTGAAAATATGAACTAGATTTTATAGTGGTTTCGTTATTCGGTTCGTTTATTCAATTTATTTTGGCAAAAACGAGTGCCTAAAAACCAACATCCGTAGCATGCATTAAAACTCGAACGTTTTATAATTCAGCACATGTGATGACGAAAAATGACACAGTGTGCTTCTCATGTATGACTCACTTAACCAGAGATCACAAATGATAGTCGCCGCAATAAACCAATTACTATTTAAATGAATAACATCGAGTAACCAAACGCTGTGGACATATTTGATTCTAAAAATAATAGTCAAAACAGAACCAATGTAAGTGGTTTACATTCTAAACAACAAACACTGATTTTAGTACACACGCCAAATGGTAGCATACTGATGAAGATGGCCGTGTTAATGAAACACCCTCTGGCCCAAAATTTTTAAGCTGATTACATTGGAAAGCTTTGCTCTTTTTCGATATTGTTTTCATGCCAACGGATTACATTTTGCCCAAGCATTTTTCACCGAAAATTGTTAATCATGATTAGATGAGATGGTTTTAAAATACGTAAATAAGATAATCAAAGTGAATGCATCATTTCAACGAAACTCTGACACAAAAACAAATTTTCCCCAACACCGGAGCAAAATTGACGGTGAATTTATTTTAATCCAAAAGAGAGAAAAAGAAGCGAACTTTTATCTCTTAATTGAATTTACTAAAATGTTTTGTGGAATTTTTCAAGCATTTTCTTCAGAATGATCCGTTCTTTATTTTTGTGTGCACTTTAAGTGTGTGTAGATTTGTTCAAATATAATTAAAACTCACTGGTTTGCATGGAACACGTACGCAAATACACAATAGATTTCTACAATGTCTGTATCTCTGCCTCGTGTTGAAAATTCGAAGGGTTATTTTTCAATTTTCGCAAAGCTTCTTTCCTCAAATTCTCTTCTTCTTATTTGGAGATTTCGGTACACAAAAACACAAACCAACTTCAACTACACTATCAGCGGTAATATTATTTTGAAACTACTCTACTTTTTTGCAATTAAAAAAAAACCACTTTGATCACTATAAACGATAGAGTCGGGAGGGAAAAACAGCACTGCGTTGTGATGAAAGGGATTTATTTCACAAATCCACATACGAATACATGCCAAAGCGCTTGAATCACAACACCCAGTATTCGTTTTTATGTTCGATGCGAAAAACAAGAGTTAAAGCTGATTTTGCAATGTCAACATTCAAGTTATATTATTTTGTGTATATCCGTCTGCTTAATTCATGCCAACATAGAACACACATACGTGCACACACACAACAAATCCGCTAAAATGTATTTATGACAACGCACGCCTCACTATTTCTTTTGTGCTTTTTATATAATTCTCAGCCCAGTAAAGTGATTACACAATAGTGTGAATGTCGCGAAATTCACAAAAAATCCGTCACAAAAACCAACCCGATCGTAATCGATAAATCTGGCAAAAATCTCTCAGCACACTGCACAAATTTCAATTAATTTTTTTTCTTTCGATTGGATTTTATAATACACATAAAATCAAATTTTCAATTTTTTTCCCACAAATTCTCAAATTTGATTGCAATTGACTTAAATTCGTTCCAAGCACTTTTTTCTTTTTCAGCGAAACGAAGTCACTTTCAAAATGCACAGATTCTACGTGATTCGTCGATATGAAAAAAATTTTGCGATAGAAAAAAAATAGATTCAACGGATTCGCTGAATAATATAGCCGAAAAATGATAAATTCAAAACCGAACACGCTAAGGATCGAGATAACCAAAAAAATTCGAATCAAACATAAAAATAAACGAAAACGCTCGTTCGAAAAGTACGTGCCAAAGATGCGTTCACAAAAAAAAAATTGGAATGATGAAAATGGTAAATTGTTTCTATTTTTATGATTACGAAACCACTAGACACACGAGACAGACAAATGCAGGCGCGCACGCGATGCGTTCAATGTTCCAAAATCAACTGATGTATGGGCATCACACAATTTTCTGTCGTTTCGAAGAAACGAGATGAGTGTGCGAAAAATTCAGTTCGGGCTGTTTTGTCTCATTCAGGTTGGATGAGGATGTGAGCGCAAGAACTCTGTTGTTGAATTTTACTCTCACTTACACATCGAGAAATGTTCATCGTCGCGAGAGTCAATCCAGCAAATACTCGAAATGTGTTGCATTTGTTTGCGTGTGTGTGTGTGTGTGTGTGTGTGTGCAATGAGAGAGAGGATGCTGATAGTAAGCACGTTGACTTCGATGTGCCTTTTTATCCACATTTCGCTTGTGTTTTCATCCGACAAATGCCGTATAGCTCACCATGGCACAATGCCAGTGATAAGAACGGGTGCGTATACAGCATCCGTCTGTAGTAACATCATAGCACCATATCAATTTTATTGTGTTCATTTGGCTCAGCATCCATCTCTTTCTCAGTTCCTTTCCTCGATCCGTGTGCATTCAGTTTTGAATAAGTTTCTGTTGAATGTTATCACAATGAATCAAATAGCCTTTCTAATACTAAATATACCTTCTTATTTTGATTTTTGGTGACTACTAATATATTTTTGTCCATTAAGTTCGAAAAAATGTCATTTTTTGTGGGTTCAAATGCGCACAAATACCTTTTGAAATGTTAAGGATCACGAATTTTATTTCACAATTCAAAAATTCTGCTTGGGTACAATGTTCATTGGCCATTCTACATTTCCATGTATAAAATCAATAAAAAAAATTGTCCGAACTAAACTTTCAATGAATATTTTGTGCTTTAAGAGATCAACTTCCACAAGATGGCGTGACAATTCACTGAGTTGCCAACATTGACAACAACATACACGTAGTGAAATCGACCTTCATTCAACCTTTTTGACGTTCGATACTCTATGTATTCATAATACGTGCTCGTTTGCTACGAGATTCACATTTAGTAGCGCGCTAGCTGTGTAAAGAGAGTGTGTTGTCCGATTTCACAGTTGAAATTATTACAAAAAGGAAAACTAATTTCCCAAATTTCTAATTGATTCAAGTGATTTTGTGAGTAACATTTTTGCAACAAATCAGATTTTACATTTTTCGTTTCAATTAAATTGAATAAAACAAGTGTTGTTGTTTTTTCGATGGCACAATGTGTAAATTACACAATTCATAAAAGAACTGTCAACATCGCAATGAAATCGTATTTGTTCTATCAAATAAGAATTCTTTTTTCTCGTACTTACTAAAATTGACTTTGTGATTTTTTTCTACTACGTTGCATCTGAATTCTGATAAGAGTTTATATAATCAATCTTTTTTTTCGATTCAATTGGTCACACGATGGCAAATCGTGTGTATTTGAATGAAAATCAAACGTGTTCGGTTGGGAACAGTGTGTGTGCGCGGTATTTTTTTTTCTTCACTGGATCAGATTGCAAATCCAGCTGTATAAATGACATTGACGTGAAAAGTATAGATATTTTTTATTCATTGTACAGAGAAGTCGCATTTGAAATAACCTTTTGACCAAAGCGCACACACTGTTCTCCTTGTCTCTAGATGTAATAATCGGCTGATGTTATGTAATTGTTCGAAACATTTTGTACTTGTTTATCTCGAATTCCATAGACTGTCATCAGCGTTTAGTCATTTGAAATGGGCAAAAGTATGACGTTAAACACTGTGCTTTAAATGCTGACTAATCAATTTTACGACAATTTTTACGGTATTTTGTTGATAAAAAATTTGCTAAAATTATATTCTTTGTATTACATTGAAAATGTCGTTTAACTTGAAAAAGTGCTCATGCGCTGTGCGGCTGGATGTATCTTTCAGTTCAGAGCAGTGCTAAATTTGTATTCCTAGATACGCGCGTGATAGCGAAAATCATTTTGACAATGAACTGACCTTGAATACACCACTTTATATTCTTCTGTATCAGAACACACCGGGTGTGACGACGTTTTCTTTCTTTTCGCTTTGAAGCAAATGATTATGCTACCACATACACTTGGCAACATCTAATGACATTGTGAAATTTACTTCCGAAACATTCCACATGCAAGTCCATTCAATTTTTGTGAAATTTCGGTTTCAATGGTCACGTCCACAGCGTGCTATTCACACACGCTCACTGTTTCGTTGAAGAATGATTTCAATAATATCGAATGACTTTGCACGAGAAAGGTGAAATTAACACGTCATTTCACTTTACCCGCATACAAGTTTCTTTTTTTGAAGATTTTCATCAGCATCATTTTTTATATCAACTTTTAGAAACTAGAAAAATATAATGAAAATATTTTGTTATTTCAGAGCAGAATTTAAGAGGATTTACTTTTGTATTTATCGTTTTAACGAAATATTATCATTTGATAACGTTAATATTACACCTTTATTTTGACCATGGCCAAATTCCTATTCAAAAGAAAAGTAACAATTTGTGGATCATTTAACGGCGTCGGTTGTTGAAACTCGTGAATGAGATAAAAAAATATATGATCGAATGTCGTTTCATGCGAATGTAGCAATTAGATAAAATTGAAGGAAAAAATAAATAGATTACAAGTACATTGTATATTCAATGTCAATGCTCAATAGCAAGAGAACAATTTGACCTATTTATTTTGGTAGTGTCACATTATAGCAATTGCGACCGAGTTGATTTGAAATCAATGTGATTACATGTGATTCTCATATCATATTACATGTGTTCATCGATGCTATTATGTAAATTTTGCGCGGCGTCCCAAGATAACGATATTCAGAGTCAGATCATGCGAAATTTAACCCGTGAGAAAAAAATTGACAGCTGATTAATTCTCACCGTATTATTATTCAACACGTAATTTGTTTGTGGCCAATTAAGAGATAGAATTCATTGAGATTTACAATGTGCCGTTTCACTTGCTCTTTCCTTTTGCATTGACTCATGAAAACGAGTCGATTTGTTTCAAAGTCAATTCTCAACAAATGCTTTTCATTAACGACTGATCGCATTTCATTGAAAACAGAAAAAAATTGATTCGGGATTGTTGTGTGGTTTTATTTCCAAAAACTTCATGCAAAAGTCTGTTGAACGAGTTTATGGCCATTTCTTTTTTGAGCTCATTGTTTTCATCTGCTTTTGATAATAGCCTGCAAGTGCCTATGGCCGAACTTTGTACCGACCAAGTATTTCTTGTTTTTCTTCAGACACTCCAATGTAAATTGACAACAGAATGTGTAAATAAAGAGTCAAGCCCTTAAACACATATCAAATGATTGAACGTAAACAACATTTACTGGGTTTACACATTTCATATTCAATTTATTTATTGATACACTACATAATGACAGTCAGGCTATGTGATAAGACGATTCGACTCAAATGGTAAATAATAATAATTATTTTTATGTCGGTGTCACATTTAGATGACCCAAAGATTGATCGAATTGCGTTGCATACATTGACAATGTTTTAAATGTATGCATCGAACATTGTATACAAATTGAAGATATTTTTGGTCTTCCGTCAACAATCTGGTTTCGTGTTGCATTTGAATGTATACGAGATTTCCTAACAGAAACGGAATATATGTGGCATGTTCACTTCAGTCGAACAATAGTCGATTTTAGGCAGTTCCTTAAAGCAGATCGATTTGCAACTTCTTCTTGACAGTTTTTTTTATTTGTTTGTACAATTTCACTTTTTGAGTTTTTATTGGAGTTTCATTGTTTGAAATTTAAATAAAGAGAAAATCACTTCCTTCAAAAAGTTTTCATGATTTTTTTTTTTTTTCGTCACGAATATTAATAAATGATTTGTCGATATTTTTAATTTCAGATAAACTAATCAACAAGCAAAATGACTACCTATTTCAACTACCCACCACAAGCCCTTCAAGATGAATTAAAACGCATCGCAAATGCCATTGTTGCACCAGGCAAAGGTATTTTGGCCGCCGATGAATCGGTCGGTACCATGGGAAAACGTTTAACCGACATCGGTTGTGAAAATGCTGACGAAAACCGTCGTGCATACCGTGAATTGTTGTTCACCACTGACGATAAATTGAACGAAAACATCTCCGGTGTCATTCTTTTCCACGAAACATTGTACCAGAAAGCCGCCGATGGTACACCATTCGTTGACTTGTTGAAGAAGAAGGGAATCATTCCAGGAATTAAAGTTGATACTGGTGTTGTTGACTTGATGGGTTCAGAAGGAGAATGCACCACACAAGGTGAGTCAAATTAACAATAAAATACGAAACAGTCACTATTTTATTTGTGAAAAAGTTACTGTATTTTTCCATTGATAACAGCTGATTATAGAAGAGAGTAGTATGAAAACCCTTGATATCTGTTTGACGTTTCAATTTCTTAACCGTCAACGGCGCCATCTGTTGATCAGATTCCGAACACAAAGCTTACTGCCTTAGCTTTTTCGAAGAATAAAGCTTAAGCATTGATCACATGCTGTGAGTTTAAAGCATGTCGCTTCACAAGCGATATTGTTTCCATTTAATTGATTTTAACGTTGCAACACAATACGTTATGATACTTATAGCGTTCAATGGATACTTTAGCGGAATTTTAGTGGCAAAATGCATTTGAATTGACTTTCAAGAGTTCGCTCTTATTTGAACACTACTTGGTACATTGATTTCCCATTTACGACGTGCATTGCATAAGGTGTTATTTTTATTTCGATAGAGTTGCAAAGCTAAGAAAGCAACAACATCACTTGAATCGAAACAGATTTCATATATGTTTCATCAATATTGTGTAAATTGTCTCTCGTAAATACAGCTGATTTTGAATTCAAAGCAATACACTTTTAGCCCTTTCGACGTTGTACGTGGTTGACGCTCGGTTTTTTTTCAATACATTATGTTTTTTCTCTGCTAATTTTGTCAACGATGTGTCAGTGCATTCACTGTGCATCGCACGTTTTCGAATGGATCTGGACAAATAAATAACTTCTTTTGCAACATTCACAAAGCACTAAATAAACTGACCGCTCCAATCGAAAAAGACATACAAAAAATCCTTGAAAGTTGTTAATATTCACTTGGGAGTTTTAAAAATGTTCAAATGTAAAGTGTCCCACACATTTCCTGTCTTGAAAAGATTTTACAAACGAAAAGTTTTTAGAAGATGAAAGTCGTCACATAGACCAACCCCTTTTTTCCGCAATAAATGGCAATATGCGCAATTTTTTTTCTTCGCAAAATAATATCGTCGGAGATACCATAAATTTTGTTTGAAAAAATGCATTCAAATTTCCCATTCGTGTGCATGTAAGCGCACCAATCTTGTTTGCGGTTATTCTATATTTATATTGTAAAGCCATAAGCGTATTTTCTTGTAGTAGTTAAATTTGTTCGTTGGAGAAGAAAAGATAAAAACGAAACCGCGCTTATGCAATTTGTTTTGCAATATTTTCTAAAGATACTTTGTATTAATAAAATCCTAAAGATAGAGAGATTGTTATAATCGTAATGGAAAAAAGACAAGAAAATGGATTTTATACGATTAGACTCGACGACACCACAGTAAAATTCATTCATATTAAATTGTACGAATGACGGAACTCCTACAAGCGATTTTACATGGCAGTTCAACGTGCAAGTTAAATACCAATCGAATCAAATGTGGAATTTAATTTAATACCTATGCAACAAAAGAGAACCATGAAATGCGAAAACTATACAAACATACAATCAGTTACACTCAATAAATATTCAAGACAATAAAATTTGAACGCTTCGAAAATCAATAATTTATCTATATGACTTGGAGTAATTTAATTTTATTTGTCGAACAAGTAGAAAGATGTACAAAACGAGGTGTGTATGTGTGATTGTGGGTAAGCGAAAGCGCCAGCAATCAATCCAAAAACAGATACTGTTGATTCAGTAAATTAAATTCTATCGTAAGTGATGTGGAAAAACAGTAGTGATTTTATATTTGTTCTTTTTTTTTTCTGTACGAGTATAATCATCAAATTGAATGCAGTTTGCATTATTGATTTCAATCAATTTGAAAAGTTTCCATTCATCGGCAAATTCTCTTCGACGTATATATATTCGGTGATTGATATTAATTCTGCCCGTTTCTCATTTGAAATGAATGATGCAATTCAATGAATTCAACTGTCGAACTTATTCAATCATTTCAAAAGAATGCGCCTTTTTTATGCATTATACCTGTAATTTTTTTAAAATAAATTTTTTATCGTCAACAAATGGGAAAATTCCTGATTTGTTCGAAGTGACAAGGTTTGGCATTGGCAGTGACCTTTTCGTTCAATGTCATACTTTTTTTTTGATAAAATATCATTTGTACCAGCCGAATTGTTGATTTTATTCGACCACCGGAAACACTGAATTCATTGATGCATGAAAAATTCATCGCGCAAATAATGGAGTTTTATTCAATTACGGTTTTATAATGATTTTTTTCTGTTCTTTTATTTCTTCACCCAATCGAATAGGTTTGGACAACTTGAACGCTCGCTGTGCACAATACAAGAAAGACGGTTGCGATTTCGCCAAATGGCGTTGCGTTTTGAAAATCGCCAAGAACACACCAAGCTACCAAGCCATCATGGAAAATGCTAACGTTTTGGCTCGTTATGCATCAATTTGCCAAGCTAACGGCATCGTTCCAATTGTTGAACCAGAAATCTTGCCAGATGGCGATCACGATTTGGATCGTAGCCAAAAAGTCACCGAAACTGTTTTGGCCGCTGTATACAAAGCATTGAACGATCATCATGTTTACTTGGAAGGTACATTGTTGAAACCAAACATGGTTACACCAGGTCAAAGCTGCCCGAAACGCTCAACCGCTGCTGAAATTGGTTTGGCCACCGTCACCGCTTTGCGTCGCACTGTTCCAGCCGCCGTTCCAGGTAAACTTTTGCAAACATCATTTTATTCAAAAGGACCAATTTAATGAATTTAATTTGTTGATTTTTTTTTCAGGAGTCACATTTTTGTCAGGTGGACAATCAGAAGAAGAAGCTTCAGTCAATTTGAATGCCATCAATCAAGTTCCATTGTTGAAACCATGGGCATTGACCTTCTCGTACGGTCGTGCATTGCAAGCATCCGTGCTCCGTGCATGGGGTGGCAAAAAAGAGAATGTTGCCGCTGCCCAATCAGAATTGCTCAAACGTGCTAAGGTCAGTATAAATATGCCAATATATTTATATCCCATTGCAAGTTGATCGTTTGCTTGGGTTTTGGGTTTTTAAACGGGGGTTGTTGGGATGGTACATAGGAAATAATCTAACACTGGAATATATGTATATGAAACGAAAGTGGATATTTTCGTTTGCATTTATTGTGATAAAAAAGTTTTTTTTTTTGAATTGCTGGCAAATGAATGCCAAATGGAATTCACATGATTGTATTAATCAGAAAATTCTACATTCGACATGAATTTATACGTATATCCATGCAATACGCATTTCAGATGTGTACGGTTCATTTGATGTATAGTTCATTTGGGACGAGATGTATTTTATGGCATGGCATAGAAGATGCATTCATTCCAGGATTGAAAGCAATGAAATGAATTTATAGAATTGCATTCACATTCTGCTATCGCCATTTACAGTCTTCAGATGGATAAAAACAGTCAGTGGTTGATTCATGTGTGTGTGTCGATTTCAAAATCGCATACTTTTCGTACTTTTCATTCGTTCTATCAATGGAATTCATTATTGAACTTCGACGCAACAGCATAACAATCACGGTAAAATATCTCAATTAATATGCATCGATTGATGTTTTTTTTTTTTAAAAGGACATAAGAAGCAACATACATTACTGTTGAAATATTCAATGTATGGTTTGTGTGTTGTTTATTGGACGTCATTTTTTATTGGTGAAAAATCGATCGAAAAATTTCACCCGTTGCATTGCATATTAATTGAATGCATGGAAAATTAATTGAATGATAAGCCAAATGCAATTTCAGTGCATATCATAGTCGAACCACCTCATTTCGACACGCCAACCATAATCAGATAGCCTTTGTTTTTCCACATTGGCTCTCCATTGTTAAATTTTCAATCTTTATTTATAGGTATATTGTACGGCAAACACAAATTTTCCATTTTATTTACTGCAAACTTCACCATTGAAGAGCCACAAATATCAACTTCATTCTCCAAAATATTCGTATTTATAAAAAAATCGACCGAATCTCATGCCATTTTTTGAGTGAAATGTGTTTGTGAAAAAATTCAAGTGCGGTTGGTAATACAATGAAACATAAAAAAAATCGATGACACTTCAAGTGCCAGAAGCAATACCGAAACAATGTTTTGTTTTTCTCCATTGACCGTAAATCGATTTCGTTCAACAAATTACTTTTCGTTCACATTCAACCACGCGTTTTACTCTGTCATTAATAGTATACCTATTATTATATCCAATTTATTGCAACGTCTACTTTCTAAACATATGCACTGCAAAATATGATGAATGCTATTATCATTATCAATGATAACACCTCATAAATTAACGGACATGCATGTCGGTCGATGTGTCAGTTGCACTAGCGGCGATAAGCCATCTCTTTAGCACTATATCTATATATATATAAATGGGAAAATAAATAAACAATCATGAAAAGCATCAAATTAGAAATATGCATGAAATGGGAACGTTGTGGAAATATTCTGATGCTCTTCAGTTTTGTGTTTTACGTTGCAGCGTTAATTAGTGCAACTGGATTTGTGAGCTTTAAACTTGAGCTCATTTTGAGTTTAAACTCAACGATTCAAAAACACACTCATTTCAAAGTGAGTTGAGCGAAAAACTCTCGGCTCAAATTTATGAGTGGAAGTCTCAAGCTCGACAATCGTTTCATCCATAAAAGGTTCATAAGCAAAATGAGATTTAGTACATAAAACCAACACAATTCGATATGTATATCAAACCTGTTGAAAGCAATCAAAGTTCGAAATTGCTGCTGCAAATGAAATCCATTTGAATACTATTTACAGTTTTTCTTTCAAAAGAGAGACAGAAATACAGTGGGGGGGCGAAATATGAAGAGATCTTTCTTTAAAACAGTACAAATTTATCGGCTTTCATTTTCATGACCTAATTTTAGGGAAACTGCTTTTTGTTGTTGAAAATAAACCATCATTTATGGATGTGATTTAATGCTCCCTGTTGAATGACCTTAAAATTGTCGTCCCATTCCAAAACTCGATGTTCATCATGGAATATCAAAAAATTTAAGTTTCAATTTCCGGCATTGTTGCTCATGTTTAACTGCAAATTGAAGTCAATTCGCAGTTTGATGATTGAAACCAAAATAACATGCAATAGAGTTGCACACACGGAAATCATTACACTCACTTTTAGTCAAGTGAATTTATCTTATTTGCCATAAAGTGTACTCTTTACATGAATGGCTGCTGATTTTCATTAAATGGGAGGATAAAGTCCTTAACGTCAACGTCATAAAAACATTGATGTACACAATTTTTGTGTTTGAACGTATTTCTCGAAATCAAAATCGCTTTTCATATCCTCAATGTTGTCGTCAGTTCACTACATGCATGGCTATTATCGTTTTGTGCAATCGAACAAAAGATCTTCATTTTTCTTCGTAAATTCTATTGAATCAAGCTCATTGACTAGCTTTATGCCATGTTATTGAATTCAATCGAATCATAATCCACCTGATGTCATAACTGTAACATTTCTATCATATCTGCTTTCGGTTTTTTGTCATTCCAAACGAACCGAAAGAAATCGAAGCGAAAATATAGAATTTAGGTCATTTCTATGACGATAAACTGATATTCTACAGAAAATGATTACTTCTTAAACAGTTTTTTTCTTCTTATATACACATATTCCCATTTGACCAAATGGCTATTTGAGATATGATTCGTGTGCTTGTACTTAAAAATAGCACATTGATTGGAATTTCTTCGAACTAAATATATTTATATTGCTAGTTTTGTAAGTAGATATCAAGAAACCTAGCTGTAAAGGTTTCGATGTCATCATTTTCAACATTACATATCGCCAATATTTTGTTCATTTTCATCGTTCTTATTTCAATGAATTCAATATCGTCACTCACTCATTCATCAGTTAATATCTTTTGAAATGTTTATCATAAAATGAACACCAAAGTACCAATTTTTATCATAAGTTATTTTCTTACTTATTTGCTACATGCTTGGGGAATTTCCATTTCAATGCATTTTAAGTGATAAATACATATGGAGCAGTAAAACAGTATAGCGTATAAAATCATATATGAGTTATGTACATGAATTTCCTGTCATCCAGCATTATTACTACTATCCTGTTCAAGTGATTGCTGACTAACGATTACATTTTTTCGCTAGAGAAATTTCTCACTCAAATTCTCGGAATTTTTTCTCCACAGTCACATTGAAAGTGACAATATTGCGCTCATGTCCAAAAATTCCCTCGTTTACGAAAATAAATAAAACGATTGCATTCACAACCGAAAAAAACATTCATATTAAAGAGCACATTCGTACATCGCTCATCTTGAAAAGGGTGGAGAGCAAACAAAAAAAAAACATATGCGAAAAACTACAAAACTATGCATTTTTGAAATGAAAAAGAGAATTGCAAAAAAAGAAGTATCCTTCAACTACAGCGACACTGTTTAGAATTGAAATCCAAAGGGATGGACGACACTTGTAACAATGGCTTCTTTTCAATTTTTTTCCCAATGAATACAGATAAGCATTGGCAAACATCATGCAAAACGGTATTTCGTTTAAACTTGGCATGTGTCACCCCTGATGTTTTGATATTATTTCATTTTGTGTGTTTCTCTTGCTGTGTGAGCTTCGCTTGATAAAACAAATAAAGAAGCTCAATTCAAATTTAAGTTCGAGTTGTAAATGGAACGGAGGGAACGCAACAGAAAAAAATCTGTTTTATTTCATTTAAAATGTATCGAGGTCATCCGTTTCGATTCTAACCAATAAAAAAATAAACACAACAACGAAAACGACAAAATGGAATGCATGCTTTTTTCTGATTTTTATCTGCAATTTGTTTGGTAGTTGCCCTTTTGCCAGTGCACACAAACATATACCATCACATCATCAAATGGATTTCGATGAAAAGCTGTATTTGCTTGCAACCAATCAATTGTTTCACCCCGATATTTCCTCATGCCAAAAAGATATCAGGAGAGACACACACAGCGTGCATAATACTGTAACTGAATACATACTCGCTTACGGCCAATTTACTAAATGCAGTGCCTTAAATATGCATGGAACTATCGTCACAAATACACCATTTTTAAGTTTTCGGTTCAATGTATGGAATTCACCGTTTGTGAAAAACATTTTCTTTTTCATGCATTTTAAATTCAAAAATACCATTTGCATCACGTTGTAAATTTTGCAAACTTTTTTCATGTGCAACATGCACGAGAGACACACAGAAAAAACATAACAAGACATTCATTAAATACTTAAGATAAAGAAAGTATAATATATAATGTAACATTCTATTTAAAAGTTGGTGTATATTATTCATTCGCATCCTGTCATACCGCAACATATTCTTGCTTGGAGAAACTTCATTGGTTTTTTGCATTCAGCACATTAACAATGGTTTTATTATTTAACGGTGTTTGTTGGTGCTTTTCCTTTGTGTGTTTTGTAACTAATTTTTTTCTTTGTTCTTTTTTTCTCTCTCTTGTGTTTAACGCGTATTACGATGTATTATAAAATCCTTTGCCGAGGATAATGAACATTTAAATGAACATTTCAAAATGACATATTCTATCGTATCGTCAACATGCACATTTATTCCAACGGCACCCCGTTGCATCCTGCATCCTTGCACCCTGAACTCAATTATCCCGAAATCAAACAAACAAACAAAAACTCATGCGGGTTGAATCCATATGAACACGCACACAATTCCTGTGGTTACACATTCTGATTGAATTAACTCAAACAGGCTAATGGATTGGCAAGCCAAGCCAAATACGTTCCCGGATCGATTCCATCGTTCGCCGGCAATGCCAGTTTATTCGTTAAACAACATGCATATTAGATATCTAAGAAAGAAAAAAATACATCTTTTGCCTCACATAATATATCAAAAATTCAAATTTAGTTTTAAGCATTTAATTTTAAAATTCAATTTG